TGAGGGTGTGGAATGGGCTTCCACGGGAGGTCGTTGAGGCCCCATCAGTGCGGGTGTTCAAAGATAGGCTGGACATGCACATGGTGGGCATGTCGTGAGTGGAGCCAGCTGGAGCCGGGGGTCAGACTAGATGGCCCGGAAGACCCCTTCTGACTCGCTCTGTTTCTATGTTTCTATAGCAAACTGAGGCAGAAAACTAAATTAGAATGGCAAAACTCTTCCCAAATTAGTCTTTTTTAAAGCTCAGTTTTCTGCATGTTTGTTGCCAGAAGTCAGAAACAACAATAACCTCTTCCTCAATCCCCCACCTATCCTCCACAAATGTTAGAGATCTCACCTCCAGCTCCTGCTCCCTCTGCAGGGCAAACTGTTTGAAAGATTTGACAATAAGGCCAGCATTTGAACAGTCATAGACGAAAATGGAGGGGCTGCCCATCCATGTCTGAAGGTCATAGATGGATAACGGGATGTACTGAGTGTAGTTCTGCAAAAGAAACAAAAAGAACATACATTACAGCGAACAAGCACCAATGGTTAGGCCTTCCTCAAATTTTGCAATGTAACACACCAATTACAATATGTAAAAATACATATATTAAGGAAACTGTACAATAAAGTACACCAATTTTTAAAAACTCAGACACTGATGTAGAAATGGTACAGAATAAATTGTTTGAAAAAGATGAAAATGAAACAGTTTTGTCTATCCCTTTTCCTCCAATATACAGAAGTTACAAACAAGTTGCTACTGTAGCCAGGTCCCATGCACACTTCATAAGCAATGCCAAATATAATAGAAATACATGGTGCTACTGCTATGGCATTCTTTCCCCATCCCAAGAGACACTGAAGGGTTTACCTAGTGTAAAATTTGCTCAAGTTTCTTTTGAATCAATCTTTCAATAATATATGCTTCGATGCTTGCACTTGTGCAACTCATACTAAACTAACCTCTACCACTAATCCTAATTTTACCAGCTCAGCCACCACCAGACAGGGCACACAGGTATGGTTCCCCTGTAACTTGTTTCCCAAAAAAGCTGGTGAGATAGGAGAGAGGCTTTCACCTCTCCACACACACAGCAGTCAGGTTCAAAAGTGCTGTTTTCTATCAGCTAACAAATTAAATACTCTCCCCTCAACAGCAGCTGTGTGGGGGTGATGGGGGTAGGATCCAAAGAGGCACCTATGACTCTGCCAGTCTTTTGTGTCCTGACAATTATGTGACCTGACCCTTTCTAGAAATTAGTGTTTCCAGTGGGGATTGCTTGTACAATGGAATCTGTAGGGCTGGCCATTAACAGACAGAGACAGAGATAGGTAATGTGCATGCATCATTAGTCCATTCACAATGTATGCTGAGGGGGGGTGGATGCAGCTACCTTCTAGTTTCCTATCCCAGTGCAGGAGAAATATCTGGTAGATTGTATATTTCAAACTTAATGGTTAGGACTGCATTGAAGAATACAAGGGCAGATTTCAGATTCAGGAAGGTAAAAAAAAAATCACTGAAACAACCCTTAATGTGGTTATTACATCTTTTTAAAGTTGCTTTGAATTATCAGAAAATGCATCTTTTTAATAAAACATAGACCATCCTCTAGTTGTTTAAATAGTAGCAAAATGTATGCCTGTTTTATAGTGTAATTTAATTTGCAAATTTCTATGCAGTGATATTATAGCACTGTTTATCTGTTTCATGAATTATTAAGAAAGATAACAAAAAAGGAATCACTTTACTTTTTTTTCCAGGGCAGTGCTCTATTTTTCTTTGAAATACAAACCAATCAAAACCTGTAAAACCAGAAGAACAACTCTTAGGGTTTTTAAATTCCTCTTCTGTCCAAAACTGCGCAACTGAATGTAATTATCATAAATACAGGAAAGGGGGAGAAAATGTCCATCCTTTATTTCCATGTGATCCATTCACATCTCACTAGTTGCCCTGCTTTAGCAAGCTGCAAAGCCAAATTAAAGCACTGCAAATCTTTAAGTAAAGACAAATCACTTTATCACGCTGAAGTAGAAATACATGAATAGAGGAAAAAAGTCAGAACAGCAAATGTTCCCCAAGCCCTTCTGAGATATTCCTTTTCATATAGGTGTCTGTAACACTGAGATAACAATTCCTCAAGAAACCAGGTATCTTTACTGCCCATTCCCAAATGCCTCAACTCAAAACAATGCAATTTGGGGACAAGAGACAAAGGTACACAAGGCAATCGTTTCACTTTTTCAGATTGCCTATACAGTAAAAGACCAAATAAATGAACAGAGATTCACTTCAGTTTGTTTGTTTGTATGTATGTTTAGATCCTCTTTACGCATCAGGATTGATTAGACATCAAAACATCTAGACTTGCTTCGCAAGGCAACACTGAAAGGTTAAGCTAGAAAGGCCCTTACCCCACAACATGTACAACATGATAAGAATAATGAAAAATCAAAGTTGGGTGGGGGATAAATGTCAGGAAGAAAATAGCAGAGAGGCATGAGGTGGAGGGGTATGCATATCTGCACATACAGCATGCACACACTTCAAACGAAAAAGATCAAAATAATGTAATCATTCTCTTTTTACAGTGTCTGATACTAACTGCGCTGCACAGTCCTTTTTCATTTGCATCCCTGTGAAAGCTCAGCTCTGTCTAGTTGAACAAAGCAACTGAGATCTTGCTTTTTGGCTGAAACAAATCAGACTGAAATAATGCTTCCTGAAGGGTTTATCCTTTTTAATCTATGTATCAGATTAATCTCTCATAAATATAGCACTACCAGAAAATGAAGGGTGCTTAGACATCCACAGGCCTACTGAAAACTCACAGGTCTTCCACTGAAGGGCAAAGAGATAATTTGCAGAGTCTCTGATCAAGAGCAGCAATTCTACAGCTACAAAGGTCACAACTGAAGGCTACCAACCAAGGGCATCTCAGAGACATACAGTTGTATGTCAATCCAATTGCTAGTGACTGCACAGCCACTGAATTTCAATCTACTACCCAAGAGGACCACTGGGACAGAGTTACTTTTCCAGTATTATTGGCTGTGTTCGAACAAAAGAATGGCATTTACTTTGTATTTGAAGCCTCAGCAGGTCCAATTGTACAGAAAGTGAACTGTTAAGAGAGCAGAGGATATAAGCAATTTAAATATATGAATGTGGATATGGATGTAAAACAACCAAAGAGTCATGTGGCACTTTAAAGGCTCAAAAATGTTTTATTTATTTATTTATTTATTTATTTATTTATTTATTTATTTATTTTAAACATTTCTATGCCGCCCCCATCGCAACAAAGCCTCGGGGTGGCTCACAAAAAATACACAAAAACATACATAAACAATAACAATATAACAATTTAAAAGAAAAAAAACATTTAAAACCCCCGGTGCATTCTCAGCTAATTTAAAATCCTAGTAAATACAATAATTTCACAATTAAAATAAATTGTAAATAAAAAGGTCTTAGCCTGGCACCAAAAAACAAATAATGACGATGGCGCCAGGCGGACCTCTCTGGGGAGCGCATTCCATAGATGGGGCGCCACCGCAGAGAAAGCCCTCCTCCGGGTACTCACCCTCCTAATATTCACAGAGGGTTACCGGAGAAGGGCATCCGTTGCTGATCTCAAGGGGCAGGAGGGCATATATGGCATAAGCTTTGGTGGATTGTGGTCCACTTCATTATGATTAAGTGGACACCAGTCCATGAAAATTGATGCATTCCTTTACTGTTTTTGCTGCAACAGACTGATACTAATTTATACTACTCTAGATATAGATCCCTAGTAACCTTTCTATCACTACTACAGCAGGACAAACACAGCCTTAAGAGCTTCTGAGGCGAAGTATCCTAAGTTCCCTTCAAAAGAAAACAGGTTTTATCTATAAGTAGGATGGCCTGAGGCCCTTGCTGCACTTGGCCACCACCTCATCAGCTGGTATAACAATTTTCTGCACCACTTAAGGCAGTGGTAGCATGACAGCCAACTATGAGAGTGTGGCGATCTCTCCTATCATTTGTGCACAGAAGCAGATTGTTTTCAAGCTCATAGGCTAGGACAGTGATGGCAAACATTTTAGAGACCAAGTGCCAAAACTGCAAAACCCATTTATTTATCGCAAAGTACCAACACTACAATAAAACCAGAAAACTGAGCTTTTAGTTTAGAAAAAACAACTCACAACCAGTCCAAGCAAATATATATATATCCATGGCACCACACTGACCGGCCATGTGAAAGCTTGGACAAGTCACGGCTAATGAGTCATGGATCATGACATCATCGCCTGGCGCCACTACTCCTACCCGAGCATGCACATGGCCCCTCTGTACACTGTTATCTAATGCTCGGCTGCTGGGGCAATGCTGGGGTGACTTGGCTTGCATGCCGACAGAGAGGGCTCTGTGTGCCCGCTGTGGCACACATGCCATGGGTTCGCCACCACTGGGCTAGGACAAGGGCCTATATACATACTGCTAGCCCTTCCAAAGGACTGTATACAGATGGAGCTAGTACAAAAAGGACCTAAAACTGCTTTTTCCAGGCATAGAGTTGGACACCCCAGGCTACTCCAGCCTTTGCTGACTGTTCTACGAACAGATCATTAACCACATCTATATAGTTTAGGTCACCAATGTAGTATACCATTTTAGGATGAGAAGGAGCTTCTATATTCTAGGAGCAGATGAGGAGGTAGTAAAGGTTTCCTGTCACCTCCAAGTCTTCCACACTGCAGCAGGGCAACCAAGAAAGAGAAAAAATTCCCCCTCTTCTGCTTGCATACAGAAGCAGCAGTAGGAACAAAATGACCCTTAGATGCATTGCTTCACCTTTATCTGGTCATACTAGCCTTTCTGATATAAAAGGCTTCCTTAAAGGGAGGTGGCTCATCACATTAGATAAACAGTGTAAAATATTTTCTCCCCTCTACCAGCTCTCGCTCTCATATTGTCAGTGTGGCTTTCTGCCCTGAGCAAGGTCCACACAACAATAAAAACTTAGTAATGAATCACTGTCAACTACCTAGAGAGCTTCAGTTATTAGGCAGTATAGAAATAAAATAAATACTTGAATAAAGAGAAAGACTGCAAGGGTACTTTTGTGAGTGTGTGTATATGTGCATGGGAGTAAGATAATATTCTGAAAGCACAGAATATTTTCTGTATGCCAAAAACACCAGCATCTGAGCAATAAAAAGTAAACGTGCATGCGCACACACACACATTTTTAAAGGTATACCAACTGATACAGGATTTTGAGCCTGGGTTTCAAAGCAATGCCTGAAAAGAAACCTTACCACATTAATTACACATTTTTAAAGGTTTCTAGTGTTTCAGCATAAGGTTTAGTCCATGGGTCCTCAAACTATGGCCCACAGGCTGGATCCGGCCCGCCATGCCCATTGATCTGGCCCGCCACAGCTCACCATGCGTGCGCTCATGGCAAGATGCCAGCTTGCTCACAAGGAGATCATTTTGGACTCGCTCGGAGAAAAGGATCTCTGCACACGCATGCCCCTGACTTTCTGCAAGCGCGCGCACCCCCTGCCCACACTGCCTTGGCGGCCCGCACCCATCCCTGGCACCTTTCAACTGGCCCCCTATTCAAAAAGTTTGAGGACCCCCGGTTTAGTCGGATAATATGAAGGACCACCTGTGCAACTACAGAGGTAACAGTGAATTAGTTTAGCACTACCAGATTGTCTAAAAAGAATGCAGATTTTAGCAACTTACTTTTTCAATGGCAAGTACACACACAAACCATGGATGGGTTCACCAGTAATGCTGAACAAGGATTTGCTTTAACTGTGGTTTGCTGACTAAGTCGGGAAGTCTCACACATGAAAAAGTAAACTCTGGATTATTTCACAGTATTCTTTTCAATCCCCCCCACCCCTCATTTGGCTGGTATCCCAAACATCTTCACAGTCAAAAACTGGCACCATGTTACCCGCTCACTTACCATGGTGCAGCCATATTAACAGGACAAGGAAATCTCCTTGGGGATCTTTCCATACTTTCTTAGGCATGCCCAATGGTGGTTTGCTCCCTGAATCAGCTAATGCTTATCTACAACCACAAATAAAGAGAAGCAAGTTTCTCTTCATAACTGCTAAATGCACTCCACATATGATTTCCTTAATTCTGCTACTTGACCAGACTTGAGTGACTTGGTGGAGGCAAGGTGACCTGAGATTACTTTCCCACTGAATCAGCCCAAATGAAAATGCTCCCTATACCCTGATAATGACTCATGGCTCTTAAGCATTCAACAAAGCACTGTAATTTATCAAAATTCTAATTACTCTCCAACACTTCTTGATCTCAAACACAGAAATTTATCCTTTCCATTATCCTACTAAAGCAGTTTCTTGGGTGAAGTGCATGACCGCAACAGGCAAAAGACCTTTTTGACATAAGTGGAGGCCACTCAGCATATACATTGTGGCCATTCAATATCTGAAATCCACCCCCCTCACTAAGAACCTACTCATTCCAAAAATTTACAAATTATTCAAAAGAATAAAAAGCACCTTATGATCATTTTTCAACAACAGAGCTGGAAGAAAATTCAACCCATAAAGAAAAGCAGGTTACTTACCTGTAACTGATGTTCTTCGAGTGGCCATCTGTGCAGTCACACATATGGGTTCTGCGCCTGCGCAGTGCCTTTGGCCGGAAGATTGACAGCTAACGGTTTTTGGCAGGAAGCTCCACTCCCCCTTCCCCTTGTGGCCTATAAAGAGCAGAGCGTCCGCCATTTGTTCAGTCTTTGACGACCGAACGTGCGCCCCCTTGTGGAAAAATTCTCAGTATGAGATAGGAAAAAAGGGATTGGTACCAAGAAAAAATGGGAAACTTTCAATACCAATGAATGTGTCCACTCACCGACACCGAGTGGGGCCGGCGGGTGGGTTGTGTGACTGCACAGATGGCCACTCGAAGAACATCAGTTACAGGTAAGCAACCTGCTTTTCTTCGTCGTGGCCTCTGTGCATCACACATATGGGTAGATTAACAAGCTTACCATCAAAGGAGGAGGGAAGGTGTCCTCATTGTAGGACGGAGGAGAGAACAGCTCTACCGAAGGAGCAGTCCCGTCCAGCCCGAACATCGAGACGGTAATGCTTGGCGAAAGTGCAGGGATTCGCCCAAGTAGCAGCTTGGCAGACGTCATCAATCGGAACTCCAGATGCGAATGCAGAAGACGTAGCGACAGCTCTAGTGGAATGGCTTCGGGGAACTGTAGGCAGTTCGAGCTTAGCTAACTGATAACACAAGATAATAGTGTGGACTATCCATTTAGAAAGCCTTTGTGGAGTGACTGGGTCGCCCTTATCTCTAGCCGAGTATTTGATGAACAGTTTATTGGCTCGCCGAATAGACTCCGTTCGCGATCGATAAAAGGCTAAACAATGTCGAACGTCGAGGGAGTGCAAGGATCTTTCCAAGGGATTCGATGGCGATGGAAAAAAGGCAGGCAGTACACTGTCTTGTCCTGTATGGAAAGGTGTAGAGACTTTGGGCAAGAAAGATGGGCCGAGACGTAAAATGACCTTTTCTCTGTGGAAGTTTAGATAAGTTTAGACCTGTACAGGGAGAAGGACAGGGGGAGTGCGTCCCTGTTGGTTCTCCTGGACCTCTCAGAGGCTTTCGATACCATCGACCATGGTATCCTTCTGGATAGGCTTGCGGGATTGGGGGTCGGAGGCACTGCTTTGCAGTGGTTCCGCTCCTATCTCAATGGCCGGTTCCAGAAGGTGGTGCTGGGGGACTATGGCTCTGCGCCATGGCA